GGCGGGGCTGGGTGGAGGGGCTGGGCGGGGCTGGGTGCCCGAGGGGCTGCTGCGCGCGCCTTTGCAGCCTTGAGGGAGGTGAGCTCATCGTCGCGGGCGGCGAGGCGGCGCGCGTGCGCGGCCTGCATCTTTGCGAGGCGGTCTTCCTTCTCCTTGCTCATCGCCGCCTGGTGGCCAGTCGAGCTCCGCGTGAGGCGGGGCGAGGCGACGCGGGGGAGGGCGGGGCGAGGCGAGGAGGGGGAGAGGGAGGAAGGGGAGGGTGTGGAAGGGGGCGGGAGAGGAAGGGGAGAGGGACGGCCTTGAGCCGGTCCAGCTCCGCGTCGCGCGCGATCGACAGCTTCTCCGCCGCCGCGTTGAGCCGCATCACCTCTGCCTCGGACCCCTCGAGAGCCTGGCGAGGGCCGGGGAGGCGACAGTGGCGGGCGACAGTGGCGGGCGAGGGGCGGGACGGGCGACAGTGGCGGGCTGGGGCGGGACGGGCGAGGGGCGGGAGGAGGAGGTAGAGCCAAGCGGCGGGCGCGGCGGAGTGATGCTAGACACGAGGCGGCGGCGGCGTAGGAGGAGGAGGAGGAGGCGGGGGCGGGGGCGGAGGCGGTGGCGGAGGCGGAGGTGGAGGCGGCGGAGGCGGCGGCGGTGGCGGCGGCGGAGGCGGCGGAGGCGGCGGCGGCGGAGGCGGCGGAGGCGGCGGGGCAGAGGCGGCAGAGGCGGCGGCGGCACCTTTTGCACTCGCCGCAGCTCGCCCTGCTGAGCCTGGAGCTGGGCCCGCAGTTGGGCTGCGGCCTGCGCCTGCGCCTGTGCGTGCGCCTGCGCCTGCTGCTGCTGCTGCGCCTGCTGCTGGTGCCACTGCCACTGCGGAGGCGCGACCGACGGCGGCGCGAGGCTGCCGGCGCGGCCGCCCTGCGAGATGTGCGGCACCGGCAAGGGCGAGGTCGGTCCCCTGGCCGGGGTCGGCGACGGCGCGGCGGCGCCCGGAGCGCGCTCGAGGACGTGTCCGCTGCTCGCGAGGGCGGAGAGCCCCCGGTGCATCACCGCTGGAGCCATGCCGGCGGGAAGCGGTAGCGCGCCGGCAGACGAGCGGCGGTCGCCAAAGTGCTGCTGGGCGGCAGGGAGGCTTGCTGCGGGCCCGCTGGAATGGCCGCCGCCGAAGCCGGCGTGGATGCCGTGGCCGTCCAGCGCGCGGTACTGCTCGGGCCTTTGCCAGTGGTTGGGAGGAGGTAGGTCCGAAGGCAAGTCGTTCGAGATGCGCTCGAGGATGTCGTCCGAGAGGGCCTTCTCGAGGGACGCGTTCCGCTGGTGCCCGGTGCGGTACGGGCCGCCGGCCGGCGGCGGCTGTCCGTTCGCGCCCAACATGGCGCGAGGCTGGTGGTTGTGGCCTCTGAGGCCCTCGAGCCAGCTTGATGGCGCGCGCTTTTCTTTTGACGTGTAATTCTAAGAATTCTTTTGATGTGCAGCGAACTGAGAAGCTAGGCGAAGGTGTCTCAAAGTGGTCTCAAGTGTCTCGAAACGTGTCTCAAACTCGAAAGGGAAGAAAAAAAGGGGGGGGGCACCACTGCTCAAGCAATATGCGACAACGCCGTCGTAAAGTTTGCGCCAGTCCCATGCCAGAAAGGAAGAAAACAGACAAACCAAACGAGGGATGGGAGGAGGACAAGGTCCCCACCTGAGCAGGATTTTGGAAGGACGATCAGGGACACAGGCACACTGACGGTGAACCTTCTTTTGTAGACCGCTAGGATTGAGAGCAGCCTCGCTCTCAATCCTAGAAGTCGAAGGGTTGTGAGCAGCACTCCTCGCAATCGTAGCATCTCTGTACGATTGCTAGCACCTACGCTCGCAATCCTACATCTTCTAGGACTAAGAGCAGCTCCGCTCCCAAGGCGACTGGTGACGCCTACGACTACTACCAGCGCGCTCGCAATCCGAGCAAAGTCTAGGATTGCGAGCAGCTTAGCTCACAATCCTGGCAACATGCCTCCGATTGCGAGCAGTAGCGCTCGCAATCCTACATCTTGTAGGACTATGAGCGGCGGCGCTCACAATCGTACCCAAGATCCAAGGATTGCTAGCGCTTGTGAGTGAGCGCGCCGGGAGGGTCTCCTCAAATCCAAACAGTGATCGCACCGATTGCGAGGGGACTCGCAATCCTAGAAGTCGTAGGACTGTGTGTGGGCGGTGTCGCTCGCAATCGGCGAAAGTTCTAGGATTGCAAGCGCTACTGCTCGCAATCGGAGGCATGATGCTCGGATTGTGAGCAAAGCTGCTCGCAATCCTAGACTTTGCTCGGATTGCGAGCGCGCTGGTAGTAGTCGTAGGCGTCACCAGTCACCTTGGGAGCGGAGCTGCTCTTAGTCCTAGAAGATGTAGGACCTTGGGAGCGGAGCTGCTCTTAGTCCTAGAAGATGTAGGATTGCGAGCGTAGGTGCTAGCAATCGTACAGAGATGCTACGATTGCGAGGAGTGCTGCTCACAATCCTTCGACTTCTAGGATTGAGAGCGAGGCTGCTCTCAATCCTAGCGGTCTACAAAAGAAGGCTCACCCACACTGACAGGGATCGTCAAGGCACACTGACAGGGGTGGCCGTGTCAGCAAGGGCCTCGAAAAATCACGCCGAGACGGCGTTTCAGAAAACTGACCACGACTGGACGGAGGCGCTGCCGGGGACCGCGCGGCGCGATTACCGTCTCAAGGGCATGAACGACAAGATGCACCCCGTCGCCGAGGCCGTGCAGAAATTCCTGCTCACCCTCGACGATGCCGCGCAGGAGCGCGACATCTTCGTCACGGCAGAGCATCCGCCGTCTTGGTTCTTTTTCCGCCGCTTCGAACGATGCGAAACGGGCAGCTCTTGAGAGAGCGCATTCTTGCAATCGCATGCTACTGTACGTAGGTAGTCCTGCCCCAGCAGGCAGGGGCGGTGGCAGGAGTCTCTCCCACGTCCTATGTGGGCTTCGCTAGAGGTGCGTCCTGTGTGTGTCCTCGTCCTTGAGGTCTCAAGGGGGGGAAGGGGAAGGGGCTGTGTGTCTGTGCATGCATGTGTGTGCGTGTGTGTGTGTGTGTGTGTGTGTGTGTGTGTGTGTGTGGTGTGTGTGTGTGTGTGTGTGTGTGTGTGTGTGTGTGTGTGTGTGCGTGCGTGCGAGCGCTGTGCCCTGTGCGACCCAGTCCCTCTCCCATGCTCCACCAATGTTGTTCGAGGCCACGAAAATTCTTTTTAAGTCGGTCATCGGAAGTCGATCGCGTGCCGCACTTGCTCCTGCTTCCTCTCTCTCGACTGGGCGCGCTCGACAAAGGTATTGATGCAATACTCGCAGATCGAGCTGATCGACACGGATGACATCTCCGTGTCGCGCCGCCCCGGGTCTTCCCGCTCCTCCATCAGCCGAACGGGCGGGCTGAGTCAGGGGTGGCCCGTCTACCGTCTACCGGTAGACCGGGTAGACGGTAGACCGTTTGGTAGACGAGTCTACCCTGAGTCTACCGCAGACTACCGGTAGACTTGGTAGACCGTCTACCAACCTACGACACCGGTCTACCGGTAGACTTCATGGTAGACCGCGGTAGACGCGTCTAGGCATCCTACCCTTTTTCAGCCGCCGAAGACCTAGGTACCCTGGGAGGGATGGGAGGACGGCACGCCGCCACCACACAGGGATTTTAAGGAGAGCGGTGTGATGCGCTAGCCGTCGCCCACCCTTGGAGAGATAGGAGAGGCTAAGAAGTCGGATAAAATTCTTTTCGCACAGCGCTCTTTTGCACGCCGTTCTGCGCCATTTCTAATAATGGCATCCATCCTCCTTCGATGCCTCGCTCCGAAGAGTGTGAGCCCCCAGCTAAAGGACTTGCTCTCCGAGCAGGACGCGTTGGCAGCCGCGCCGCTTCTGGCCCGAGCCGAAGTCCTAACCATTGGTGACGCCCGGCTCCTCACCGGCGACGACTTCCGCGAGCTTGGAGTCAGCATCGGCGTCAAGAATCGCATCCTGCGCGGTCTGGCCGCGTACGAGCCGTCCGCGCCCGCCTCGGGTGCGCCCACCGCGCCCGCGGCGGGCACGGCTTCGGACGGCCAAAACCGGCTCTCGTGGTTCCGCTTTGCAATTAGCTCGGGCAACGTGCCGCTCGCGAGAGAGCTTTGCACCACCGAGGACGAGGCGTTGGAGGTGCGTGCGCTGCAGCGCTCGATGAAGGAGCAGGCCGACACCGTGGTCGAGGCGCTAAAGGCGAGGGCGCGCGCGGTGTCGGGCGACGCACGGCCGAGCGAGGGCGGCGACACTCTCCGAGACGGGCTGGTCTTCCCGTGCGAGAGGAAGTCCTATTGGAAGGTTGCGAGCGAGGCGAGCGAGGCAGGCGGCGAGGCGGCGGCGGTCGAGGACGCGCTGGCGGGCGGCGAGGCCGAGGCGGCGAGGGGGCGGTCGGGGAGAGAGGCGGCGGGCGGGGCGGCGGCGGTGGAGAGGCAGATCGACGCCGCGCTCTTGGCGGTCAGCATTGGCGAAGACGGCGATGGTGGCTCCGCCTCTGCCGCCGCGAGAGGGCTGCCCGCCTCCTCCGACGCCTCGTCCGCCCCCGCCGCTGCCGAGGCCCTCCTCGCGGCCGGCAGCGCGACACACGACGGCTGGAGGCCGCCGATCGCGCGGCAGGCCGGTGCGTCGGAGGTGGACGAGGCGCTCGTGGCGCTCGGCGCCGGCGTGCTGCTCTCCCGCTGCCGCAGCCAGCAGCGCGGGCTGGCCGCTCCCCGCTCGCAGACGGCCGCGGAGGAGGGCGGCGGCGGTGAGGGGGGGCCCGCGGGCGGCGGGTCTTTCCCTGCAGGCAGGGAGAGCACCACGGACGGCGCGGGAGGGGGAGCGGGCGACGACGACGGCGGTGGCGGCGGCGGCAGGAGCGGTGATGCTGCGGCGCCTTCCTCGGAGCGGAGTCTGTACGTGAGCGATCGCCCGAGCACGCTGTACGGCGAAGGGTCCTATTCGCCGGACGAGGAGGCGAGCCGAGAGATGCAGCCGAGATGTAGCCCTGCTCGCCGGAGGAGGAGCCGGGACCAGGCAGGGCACTTGCCTTGCACTTTGATGCGTGTGCACTTGAGGTGTGGCCGCGGGGAAGGCCTCCCGTCTGCCCTCCATGACGTTGCGATGCGGGGGAGAGGGACACACCTCGAGCTGCGCATGCCTCGAACCCTCAGGTCAACCGCGCCTCGTGGTTCAAGTACGCACTCGAGATCGGAAACGCGCGCCGCGGGGGATGTGGAGCCGCTGCTCTGGCGGGGCAAGATTCGGTCGAGATTGTGCCGAGACCGTGGCTCTGTAGGTGCCACTCGCCAAGGAGCTCTGCACGACCGACCAAGAGGCCGCGCAGGCACTCCCAGCCCCCCCCCCCACCCCCCCACCCCCCCACCCCCCCCACTCGCCACACCACACCACCTGAGGTCGTCACATCTGTGCTGCATCGGCTCAACCTGCCGTCACCCACCACGCGGCACGCACCGCACGCACCGTCTCGCTGGCTCCCCTGCGTCAGCCCCCATCGTGCGCCCACGCGTGACGTGTCCCCTGGCGGCGGCTGCTCGCAGGTGCGCGCGCTGCAGCGCGTGCTCCTCCTCAACGGCGGAGCACTAGTGGGAGGGGCGGCGACGCAGCCAGCCCAGCAGCCAGCCCAGCAGCCGGCCCAGCAGCCAGCCCGGCAGCCAGCCCAGCAGCCAGCCCGGCAGCCAGCCCAGCAGCCGGCCCAGCAGCCAGCCCAGCAGTCGGCCGGGCAGGCGTCCCTTCGGGCGAGCCTTTGGACAAGGTGGCCGCAGCAGGGACCGGCGGCGGGCAGCACCACCACGCCGGAAGAGGCGGAGGCGGAGACGGCGGGGGATGCGGCAAAGACGGCGGAGGAGGAAGCGGTGGGGTTGGCGGAGGCGGCGGCGACGGCGGCGGAGGTGGAGGCGGAGGCTGAAGCGGTGGGGATGGCGGAGGCGGCGGCGGCGGCGGCGGCGGCGGCGGAGGTGGAGGCGGAGGCGGAGACGGCGGCGGCGGCGGCGGAGGCGGAGGCGGAGGAGGAGGCGAGGATCGAGGCTCTTTTGGACTCGACGGACCACCCGTACGTTGTCAACAAGGCGAAGGCGGAGGCGGAGGCGGCAGCGTGGGCAGAGGCGCAGGCGCAGGCGCAGGCGGAGGCGGAGGCGGAGGCGGAGGCGGAGGCGGAGGCGGAGGCGGAGGCGGAGGCGGCACTCGAGGAGCAGCAACAGCAAGAGAGGCAGGTGGTCGCCGTGCTCCGCTCGCAGATCGAGGCGGCGCACGAGTGGCATGCACGGCTGGCGGAGGCGCAGACAGAGGAGGCGGCGCGGCTGGCGGCGGCCGCATCGGAGACGGAAGGGGAGGAGCTCAGGGTGGAGCTGCTGCGGGCAGAGCTGGCCACAATCGAGCGTGAGCGCTCGACGAGTGAGGAGGCGGCGCGGGAGGGGAAGCGGCATCACGAGGCGGCGGAGGCGTCGCGCCACGAGGCAGAGGCGCGAGTAGTGCGGGCGGAGGCGGAGGTGGAGGCGGCGAGGGAGCGGACAGCGCGGGCAGAGGCGAAGGCGGAGGCGGCGGCGGCGCGGACAGCGCGGGCAGAGGCGGAGGCGCAGGCGGAGGCGGAGGCGCAGGCGCAGGCGGAGGCGGAGGCGGAGGCGGAGGCGGAGGCGGAGGCGGAGGCGGAGGCGGAGGCGGAGGTGGAGGTTGGTGCAGCGGCGGTGGGGGTGGGGGTGGAAGTGGAAGTGCAGACGAGTGCAGCCGTGCTCCCGCAGACGTCCCGCCAGGCGAACACGTCCTACTTCTCCACCCTGTCCGAGGCGGCCGCGGCCGCGGCCACCTCCGCTGAGGAGGCTGAGGAGGAGGAGGAGGAGGAGGAGGAGGTGTCGCTGAACGAGCTCGTGGGAGGAGGTCCCTCCTCGTCTCCCGCCGTCGCAGAGCGAGCCGAGGGGGAGGCGGGAGGTAGCAGCCTCTACGCGGCCTTTGTCCGCGGCGC